GAGCTGTTGCTTTCTGTATGTCATTAGGGTCAAGGGGTTCGTTTGGTTTATCAGGGTCAGGTTTGTAGTTCTTTGTAGAAATCACCTTCCCCTCTGGATCCAATGTACGCAGTTTATCAGTGTGTGCCACAACCATTTCACTTGTGGAGTATGCTGCAAGATGTTGGGAATTGAAACTAGTTTGTGAAAAGGTCTCATCTCTCTCCCATTTCTCCTCCAAGAGCAGAGTCCCAAGCTGACCATCCTCTTCACTCTCCTTAAAGCCAAGGAATGACTTCCCATGCTTGATATCCAAACTCTTATGCACCTCCACCTTCTCATTCAAATCCCGCAGCATTTTCTTCTTGGATTCCAGGATCTCATAGCACGTTGCTGTAGTCATCACTTTATTCAGTTTACTCAGAGTCTGCTGTGGTGTTGCTGCACATGCAAAGTCTTTATCGCGTTTCATGGCAATGTCCCTGGCTTGTTTTTTGAGTTGTTTTTCTTTCTCTCTGATTTTGGCAATTTCTTTTTCTGCTTTCTGTGAAATTTGGTTGTATGTTTTTGCCAGCATCTTGTCAAGTCTGTATCGTGAATGCTTCATTGAAACGGGGTTGGCAGAAACAAATGCTTTAATGTATTCTTCTGTTTTAGATATAGATTCATGTACTTCTTGTTTAAATTTGCTGAATGCCTCATCAATACTGATGTGAGAATGCATGAATTCTCTGTGGTCAAAGTTTGTGCATTCATTGCATATGAGGACCTCACATGAGTTACAATAAAGACAGAGATCTTGATCTGGATGCTCGCGACACTTGGAAGTTTCCTCCAGTTCAGTGTCAGTTATTTCTTGGGACTCACCAGGTAGCTCTGTCAAAGCTACAATCTTGTGAGCCCTCAGTGATGCCAATCGATTGTGCGCCTTCAGGCATTCTTGACAGAGATAATGCTTGCAATCTACGCATCGAGAAATAGCTTCGTTCTCCTCATCACATGCCTGACACATGACTTTTAACCCCTGACCTTCAGTCAGCTCCTGTTGATTGACTTCCATTGATCCTCCAGGTAGCATGTCCACGCCAGCTTCAGTCAGGGCAGTTTCCTTTCGACACAACGGACAGACGATATTCTTGTCGTCCTTATTTTGTGTCAGTTTGAGTTCTTGCAGACATTTCAGGCAGAAGCTGTGTGAGCAGTCTAGCAACCTAGCTAGGATCCTTGTACTCAGTGTAACAGATAGGACATTCTTGAAGTTCCTTCTGAGTCTCATCCAAGACTAGATCGGTCACAGTCCTCCCTCTGCCATCTTGCTCAGTTGAACTCTACATGAACCATATAAGAGTGGAAAGAAAAACAAACTTTCAACTTATGCATACTATAAGATACTGTATAAATATAGATGGACTCATGTTCAGTATACAGTGGACGCCGCTATAATGAACATCCACAGAAAGTGTTCATAGTAACGATCGTTCGGTATAGTGATTTTGAACTGCTGGTTCCCTCTTTTGATCAATAGTGAACTGGCATTTCTCACATCTCGCAGCCGCACGAGGAGTCCTCACGAAACTTTAGCAACGGGTGGTTTTCCCTTTTATTCCTTGGGCCGGGTGGTTTTCCCTTAATTTTATTCCTTGGGGGAATAATAGCCATCTATCGCTCTTCGACATTCAAACACGATGTAACAATGGGTCATTCGATGTTCGGGAATTAAAAGTGGCCCAAATAGTGTTTACTACATGTACAACTGGTAGATTTTTGTGTGAATCTGTTGACTGTTTTCAACAACAGTGTTTGGTACGTTTTGTACATTAAAACCGAGAACCAAGGATGATGTTTGGTTTAGCCGAATGTTCGATATAGCGGTGTTCGGTATAGCGACGTTCCACTGTAGTTCACTAACAGTTTACATACCTGTAGATGTATATGTATTGCAATCACTTCAGTTTTATGCGGATAAAATCAAAGACATACATGCACATAACAAAACAAAGGTAAAGAATCAAAGAACATCATGACAGTCAATATTTTCTTCTTCTTCTTGGATACATCAGAGCACAATGCAGTCTATCATGGTGCTATTCATTATATTCGCCTGTGCGGCTGCATTAACAACATTATACAACATTTGCAAACATCAACAAACAAAACTACCAAATTATTTTGAAATACCATTACTGGACTGTTAGTGAATGACAGTCTAATAAAATCCTATAAAATCATCGCACCTGGTGTGATGACATTTTCAAGAATAGTGGTAGTTTTTTGTATCAATTTCAAAAGCTGGTCGGCCGACCAGCATTGGAAAAACCTGGCTGTTTTTTTCAAGTACTGCCCCCCCCCTTTACCATATTTAGTTAATCTGAATATTGTTTGCAATCAATCACACATCTACGAACTGGTCCAAGCCTTCTAGACTGGTTCCCTGATCTTACAATTCCCCGACCTTACAATTCCCCGATGTCTATACATTGCTCCATTTCAATTTAAGTGGCGTCAGGGAACCAGACTACAAGAACATGATTGTTTTCTCGTTTTTTTCTAGCATCTGCGAACCAAAAACGTCAAGCAATTCAGTGTAACAGTATTTGCTGCAAAATACTAACCCAAAACGTCAAACAAGTCAGTGTAACAATATTTGCTGTAAACTACTAACCCCCAAAATCCATCCATTTCTGAAAATTACAGCAAAGGCAAATGTTGTATATTCCCTTTAAAATTGTCCACCTACCTACAAGTTCAACAGACCTGTTTATGGGTACAGTTTGAAGTCGTTCCCTGCATGCAGTCTGTCAGCAGTATCAGCCACACCCTACTATTACTACAACAGCACGACTGTATGTTGTGTACACGGATTGTCCAATACTGAATAGTGTTGTGGATCAAGAATTTAAGTTTGCCTGAAGATTGAGATAGGACTTTCAGAAAGAATCAAGGACAATCCATTTTGTCAGCATGGGATACAGGGCCCCAAAAGCTAATTGCATTGGATTTATTCCATTAGGGTCCCATGGTGCTGTATTTCTCCTGTGCTAGCTTGATTCTCATCCTCCACTTACCTACAATGTAGCCGTTGTATAGCTTGAGTTCAAAACTTTCCCCCCCTTTATGTATACAGTCTGTCAGCAGAGTCAGCCACACCCTACATGTACTACAACAGTGCTCACTGCTGTACTGTACGTGTTGTTCACGTTGTATAGTGCCTGACTACCACAGTCAAGTTCACTTTACTGAGTTGTAACAGCTTTCACTGCGACGTCACAGTTGAACTGTTTCCTCATGAACATTATTTCTCATCCTCCACTTACCTACAATGTAGTTGTTTTATGGGTACAGTTTGAAGTTTTTTCCTGCATACAGTCTGTCAGCAGAATCAGCCACACCCTTCTTGTACAGGTAGGCCCATGTATACTACAACAGCACGACTGTATGTTTTGTTCACGCATTGTCCAATATTATACTGAATAGTGCCTCGCTACCACAGTCAAGTGCACAGCAACGGCTGTCGTTGTGACGTACATGTAAACGTTGAACTGTTTCCTCATGAACACAATTCCAAGGTTTTTATGAATAGCTTTTTATGAGACATCTCTGACCTCCAGCATATTGTTGTTGGTTGTGGCTAGGCCCAATTTCATAATGCGGCGTAAGCACAAAAAACTTGCTTAATAAAATCACGTTACCCACCGAAACTCCATGCGATTGTTATGCTAAGTAAACAACAGCTAAATACCAGTCACAAGCAATGTACATCGCATGGAATTTTGGCCTATAACGTGATTATATTAAACAAGGGTTTTTTGTACATCATACCCGGCTGCTCTTATGCATGTACATGTACATGTACTGTAGGCATGCAAAGGGAGTTTATAAAAAGTTTATGAGGATAACCTGTATGGGTTATATTCCACAAGGTTGAAAAGCATGAATGCCTTGCTTTCAGTTGCTCTACATAATATTTGTTGTTGGGTGTTCCACTACTACAAAAAGTGTTATATCATTGGAATGTAATTTGCCAAAAATATGAGCAAAAATATGAGCAAAAAAGTCATTTCGGACGAAACATTTACACCGTGTCAATGTCAATGCCGGCAAGAAAAAAAAAACGTGTAGAAAGTCTATGGGATTTGGGATAGAAAAACACGAAGAAGAAAAAAAAAGGAAAACCAAAAAAGTACAGAAACAAAGGCTTTTCCGCAAGGTTTAGTGGAAAAGCCAATCAGATTTTCCACACATTTTTCCGTGGGCGGCAGAGAGGCCCAGTGCATGTTATAGGCAGTCTGTTACATGGGCCCATAGCACTGGTCTGGGTAACCATCCATAGTGGTTAAAACTCATACTTCATGCATACTTCGTCTCATGGAGATGACCCTCAATGAACAGACCATTCTATTTGGCACCGCCCACCATGCATGTGGGCAACAAATCGTTCACCTCTCCTATGTTTAATACCAGTATTACATGTTCCAGACCTGCACATGTCATACATGCAAATGCATGCACATTACAAATTTGTACACACCTATGTCGGGCATAAATCATGGTTGTGATTGGTCAAAACTTCATGGAGGGGGGCGTGTGGATATGTCTATATTTGCCCACCTGTTTTCATGACATGGTGGAGTATGGTACATGTTCTGGTAGCTGGAAATATGGATACTAAATGAATGTTGCACGATCAGTATTTACACTTGTACCATATCTCCTATGTTAAATACCGGTATTACATGTACCAGACCTGCACATGTCATACATGCGAATGCATGCACATTACAAATGTGTACACACCTATGTCGGGCATAAATCATGGTTGTGATTGGTTAAAACTTCATGGAGCGGGGTGTGTGGATATGTCTATAATTGCCCACCTGTTTTCATGACAAATGGTGGAGAGTACCGTACATGTACTGGTAGCTGGAAATATGGATACTAAATAAATTTTGCATGATCAGTATTTACACTTGTACCATATCTTTAAGCAATACATGTAGAAGTACATGTAGAGAAGAACTTAAGACACATGCGGGGTTTTTTTCTAGACTAATTGGAAATATTAATGTTTTTTTTTTTCAACCTACAATGTATATAGAACACCTCATGTAAAAAATGTATTGTTATATTTTTGAGACGATGTTATCAGTTTGGGACAAATTTTGTCATTTTTGGAAATGGGAAAAAATATCAAACTAGCGCTTCCATTTAAACATGTGGAAGTATGTACAACTGTACAAGCTCCAAATAAGTTTGCACATATGACTACGGTTGATGTACATGTGTAAGATACTAAATGTAATATAACACATGTAAACTTTCTATGTACATGTATACAATCCCATATCCTGCTCAAAGTGTTGAAGTCTGTTCTGTTTGTGCACTTGCAATCAGAAAGTTTCTGTACATTGCACATGTCCATGGATGCATGGAGCATCAGTAATTTTCATGGATGTTTTGTAGATATCAATTGTCTTGATGCCATTTTCGTATATTTTTTTCTTTTATATTCCCTGCCTTTTGTTTTGATCGCTTGAACAATTACATGTTGGTTGATATCTCTAAACCAAGTGATACATGTACATGTACATGGTGCACCCTCCTGTAACTGCTAATTTATGTGCAGGTGTGTATGTGATATCATATTCACCCCGGCAGTCCCATGAAGCAATGCACTTGCCATCTGCACTGAAATGGGAAATTTTACCCGAGGACAAAAGGTAAATATCACCTGCATCATCACAACACAGCCCAAGAGGATCACTACAACTTTGATTAAACAGTTTGTTGCCATGTAAGTCAACAGCCATCAACAAACCCTCCTTGCTGCTGTTGGTGTAAATAAGCCGCTTGTTGGTGAAGATCAAATATGTACCAATCTTTAGAGCAGGCAGTGTTCTGATGAGGGAACCATCTGGGTTGTGTAGAGATATCTGTTCCTTGTCCTTGTAACCCACTGCTATCAGATTGCTGCTGTCCACTGCCAGGCACGTTGGCGTTCCGTCCACGCCGGCCTCTTTCCCCGGTAGGAACTGATGAAGGAGCCGGTATTCCTTGGTGAAGATCTTGACTGCAGGATTGTCTAGGATCAGAAGTTGATCATCCTTGTTGATGGCTAGAGCTGTTGCTTTCTGTATGTCATTAGGGTCATGGGGTTCGTTTGGTTTATCAGGGTCAGGTTTGTAGTTCTTTGTAGAAATCACCTTCCCCTCTGGATCCAATGTACGCAGTTTATCAGTGTGTGCCACAACCATTTCACTTGTGGAGTATGCTGCAAGATGTTGGGAATTGAAACTAGTATGTGAAAAGGTCTCATCTCTCTCCCATTTCTCCTCCAAGAGCAGAGTCCCAAGCTGACCGTCCTCTTCACTCTCCTTAAAGCCAAGGAATGACTTCCCATGCTTGATATTCAAACTCTTATGCACCTCCACCTGCTCATTCAAATCCCGCAGCATTTTCTTTTTGGACTTCAGGATCTCATAGCACGATGCAGTAGTCATCACTTCATTCACTTCACCCACAATCTTCTCAGACGTTACCGCATATGCAAATTGTTTATCTCGTTTAGTGGCAATGGCCCTGGCCTCCATTTTGAGTTGTTGTATTTTATCTCTGATTTTGGCAATTTCCTTTTCTGCTTTCTGTGAAATTTGAGAGTAAGTTTTTGCCAGCATCTTGTCAAGTCTGTGACGTGAATGACCTGAAGAGGGGTTGGCGGAAACAAATTTTTGAATGCATTCTTGGGTTTTAGATACGGATTCTGTTACTTCTTGTTTACATTTATTGAATGCCTCGTCGATACCTTCATAAGAATGCATGGATTCTTTGTGGTCAATATTTGTGCATTCATTGCATATGAGGACATCACATGTGTCACAATACAGACAGAGATCTTGATCCGGGTGCTTGTGACACTTGGGAACTTTCTTGAGTTCAGTATCCTCAGTTATTTCTTCGGGCTCAACAGTTAGCTCTGTCATAGCCACAATCTTGTGAGCCCTCAGTACTGCCATTCGACTGTGTGCCTTCTGGCATTCTTGACAGAGATAATGCTTGCAATCCATGCATCGACCTTCAGTCTGCTCCTGTTGATTGACCTCCTTTGATTCTCCAGGTAGCATTTCCACGCCAGCTTCAGTCAGGGCAGTTTCCTTTCGACACAACGGACAGACAATATTCTTGTCGTCCTTATTTTGTGTCAGTCTGAGTTCTTGCAGACATTTCAGGCAGAAGCTGTGTGAGCAGTCTAGCATCCTAGGATCCTTGTACTCAGTGTAACAGATGGGACATTCTTGAAGTTCCTTCTGAGTCTCATCCAAGACTAGATCGGTCACACCTCCTTCTGCCATCTTGTTCAGTTGTACTCTACATGTACCATATAAGAGTGGAAACAAAAACGAACTTTCAACTAATATGCATACTATAAGATGCTGTATAATTATAGACTGACTCATGTTCAGTATACAGGGCAATTCCACACCAAAGTGGACATGACACCAAAAAATTCAAATGCATGTGACTTAAACAAGTTTGGGGTCAAATGAAAGCTAAAAGTCTATATTTTTAAGATTTGAAGTAGGAATTCTATTTTTGATACATTTCGGTACCAAAAAATAGGGTTACGTAATAATCCTGTTTTAATCCTAAAAATGTGATAAATAGTGATATGAAAGTATTCTACCAATACACATACAAAAATATGTACTCATGCCACCAGTTTCTGTCATGAGAAAGTATTGGTCTTCAAAAACTGACTGAAACTTTTTTTTTACGTTTTGCGTAATTTGTTTCGCTTCCGTGACTTCTAATATTTCAGCCTTCGAAAATGTCCTTCCGTTACCGAAAAAATACATATTTTTAATTTATTTTCAAAACTTGCAGTATGAATGCAATGAAAGTTATTGTGCAAAGCAAGTTTAGGTAGGCCTTCAATATGACATTATAACTGACACTTCTGTACTTCTCGTTTTTTAATTACAATCACGTCCTAAATCACGTCCTTCCGTTACCAAATTGGTAACAGAAGGACGGTAACGGACGGTAACGGAAGGACAAATGTTATTTTTATCAAATGTAACAACATTTGTGCTCATGTTTGAAAAATGAAAATCACTGCAACTACATGCATGTATAATGAGCATTGAAAGGACATTCATGTGACCCACCTTCACAAAGGTGGTATGAGCAGGGCCAAGGTGTTCATTACAAAGGATGGCACAGGCATATGTATAACATGTACAGTTGTGTACAATGTATATGTACATGTATGTCAATGTACCGGTACTCATACATGTATGGAGTAGTTGCAGAAAATCAAATCATTAAGTTGCTGCTATCACCATTTATGGACAATAGAGAAAGATACAATCTCTGTGAAGCCATTCCAGAAGCAAATTAAGTCAAAAATGAGATGGCAGAAAGTACCGGTATTACTGGGCACTTTCATACAATTACATGTGTAAGACATGTGAGGTGCAATTTTTGACAAATTAAGTTAACTTCAGGCTGGATGTTTATAAGTTAATTATTGTTAATACTCTAAATCATTATGATTTGATTTCAAACATTGAATTTAGAGTTCAATTAAAAGCAACACCTAAAACATTTTTTAAAGCATAATGTTGTGCCCCCCCAACTCTTTAGGTAAACCACTGAACCTACTGGTATTATTATTAAAAGTAGTTGGTGAACATGTAACCAATGTACTCAAGTGCTCAAATACTGTGTATTTAAACTTTTAAGGATTGAGGTGATGGGTTTGAAGTCCATTTCTGTAGTTGTCTTGTGTTCATGAATTACATGTTTTTGGTTGTTTTTGTTTTTCGTTTGTTATCATTAATTAGCAGGCTTCTATATCTTTATCTCAATAGTTTCTTGGGTATAATTATTTATGCCAGGTCTGCATATTGTTGATTTCACATTCAGTTACACATTTCAGCAATTTATTTCACTTGTATAATTAGTGTAAATTCACATTTTGTTCATGCTATAATTGAGTAAACCTTTTGTCCTTCCGTTACCGTCCTTCCGTTACCGTCCTTCCGTTACCAAATCAAAATCCACTTAAGACATTGTAATTATATTACCGAAACAATTACACAAGCTAATTACATTGGCTTATTCCATTAGGGTCCCATGGTGCTGTATTTCTCCTGTGCTAGCTTGATTATCCATTGGACCCCAGTGTATAATCCTCGAATTAAAAATGCAAGCAAATTGTGTTCGAGGCGTCCTATGCCCGAGAGTGCCAGGCGTTCCTTTGGAATGTGGATAAGTAATTATGACTGGGCTCAAGAGTTAGATCACACTAATATTGACACAAAATATGAAAAGTTTATTGAGACCTTGAACACAAAGATTGATTTATATTTTCCGGTTAAAAGAGTCAAAATTCATACTACTGATAAACCCTGGATGACTCCACAAATCAAAAGGTTAATTAAAGCACGACAGGTAGCTTTTCATTGTAATGATATGGTCTCCTGGAGAAGATTGCGGACGAAGATTATAGCAGGTATAGCCGTGGCAAAGAAACAGTATTATGCCACTCGGGTTGCAAAACTCAAACAGAGTAAACCATCGGCTTGGTTTCACCGAATTCGCATGCTTACTGGTAATGACAAAGACCATCCGTCAGTGTATATTCCAGGAGTTGATCCAGATAATGCGTTCATGATAGCATCTACTATTAATGAACATTTTGTATCAGTTGCATCAGATATGGATTGTGTTGACCTTAGTAGACTCCCAGCATATTTACCCTCTTCCCAACCTTGCCCGTATTTGTATCCATGGGATGTTTATAAGTCGCTCCAAACTATTAAACTGTCTACAGCTGGTGGGCCTGACAATATTACTGCACGGTTTATTAATCATTTTGCCATCGAACTCGCTACTCCCCTTACTCATATTTTGAATAAATCCTTCCAACAAGGAAGAGTGCCCGAAGATTGGAAACGAGCTATTGTGATACCCATACCCAAGTCCAGCCCACCCTCTGTTGACAAGTTAAGACCGATATCTCTGACTAACCACTTCGCAAAGGTTGCGGAGGGATTTATTGCGAAGTGGTTGTTGGAGGACATTGGCCCCAGATTGGACCCTGCCCAGTTTGGAAACCGCAAACATTTCTCCACAAATCATTATTTGATCAATATGCTTCACCTGTTGTATCGAAATGCTGATAAATCAAGATCGGTTGCTACTGTGACTACCACAGATTTTTCAAAAGCATTTGATAGGATTAATCACACAATAGTGTTGAATAAGTTAATCCATTTGGAAGTGCGCCCTTCTATCATTCCATGGATAGCTGACTTCTTAACCGCTAGAGAACAGTGTGTTCGTTACCACTCAATATGTTCCAGTTGGTTGACCTTTAATGCCGGAGTCCCTCAGGGAACCAAACTTGGCCCTATTTTATTTTTAGTTATGATCAATGATGTCAGACTTGAGGGTGATAACCTGGTCGTGTTCAAATATGTTGATGATTTATCGATTGTTGAGTGTAGACCATCTTCGCAGAATTCTTGCTTGCAGGACGCCATTGACGGCCTAACAAATTGGTCTATGCAAAATAGCATGAAATTAAATCCTAGTAAGTGCTTTCAAATGAATATTGATTTCTCTAGAAATAGCCCTGTAATGCCTGTTATTTCTGTTGATGATTATGAACTCTGTATTACATCACATATCAAGGTTTTGGGGGTTACTATCCAAAGTGATCTCAAATGGGACAAAAATGTGGACAGCATTGTCAAACGTGCTAATGGTAAAATCCACATGTTAAGGGTTCTCAAAAGTTACGGTTTGCCTCACAGTGATCTCATAACCCTCTATAAGAGCTTCATCAGACCATTGGTGGAGTATGCAGCCCCTGTGTGGAACGGAGCACTTACCCAGCATCAGGTGACTCGGCTTGAAAAAGTACAGAAACGTGCCTTGAAGATTATTCTTGGGGTCGAGTATTTGTCATACACCCAAGCTTTATCGCATTTCAGCTTAGATTCTTTGGCAAACAGACGTAATCAAATATCATTATCCTTTTTCAACAAAACCCTTAAACACACTGATCTTTTTCGTGAATTCTTTCCGCCTCAACATACTAGAATGCTGCGGAATAAACCATCCATCCCTGAAATCCGTTGCCGAACAAAACGTTATTATACCAGTGCGCTTCCTACCTTAATCAGATTGCATAACCAATAATAATAATTTTAATTTTTCGATATGTAAATTGTAATGGACATGTTTTTAACAGTATGCTTTGTACACGTGAACTGTAAAAGTCATTGTTCGTTTTTTAATGGTTTTTTGTTTGTGTGTGTAATTGTAATGGTGATTGTTGTCAAATAATTTGTTGATTTGGTGTTAAATAATTTATTATTTTGTTAAATCCATTGCAATTCAGTTTTTAACTGCGATAATGGATGAAATAAACCAATATGAATGAATGAATGAATGAATTATCATCCTCCACTTACCTACAATGTAGCCGTTGTATAGGTTGAGTTCAAAACTTTTCCCCCCTTTATGTATACAGTCTGTCAGCAGAATCAGCCACACCCTACATGTACCGCTACATGTACTACAACAGTGCTCACTGCTGTACTGTACATGTTGTACACGTTGTATAGTGCCTCACTACCACAGTCAAGTTCACTTTACTGAGTTGTATCAGCTTTCATTGCGACGTCACAATTGAACTGTTTCCTCATGAACATTATTTCTCATCCTCCACTTACCTACAATGTAGCCGTTTTATGGGTACAGTTTGAAGTTTTTTCCTGCATACAGTCTGTCAGCAGACTCAGCCACACCCTTCTTGTACAGGTAGGCCCATGTATACTACAACAGCACGACTGTATGTTTTGTTCACGCATTGTCCAATATTACTGAATAGTGCCTCGCTACCACAGTCAAGTGCACAGCAACGGCTGTCGTTGTGATGTAAACATTGCACTGTTTCCTCATGAACACAATTCCCAGGTTTTTGTGAATAGCTTTTTATGAGACACCTCTGACCTCAAGCTAGGCCCAATTTCATAATGCCGCTTAAGCACAAAATTTGCTTAAGCACAAAAAAATGTTACTTAATATAATCACGTTACCCACTGAAACTCCATGCGATTGTTGTGCTAAGTAAACAACAGCTAAATACCAGTCATAAGTAATGTACATTGCATGGAGTTTTGGCCGGTAACATGATTATATTTAACAAGTTTTTTTTGTGCTGAAGCAAATTTTATGCTTAAGCAGCTCTATGTAATTGGGCCCTTAGGTGTCCTGTACTTCTACATTGTACCGGGCTGCTCTTGTGCATGTACATGTAGGCAGATCATGGATCGGTGTATTACAGTTTATAAAAAGTTTATGAGGATAACCTGTATGGGTTATTCCACCGGGTTGGGAACAATGTGTGACATATGACCATATTTTGAAAAGTATGAATGCATTGCTTGCAGTTGCTCTTCACAATATTAGTTGTGGGGTGTTTCACTACTGCAGAAAGTTTTAAGTCATTTGAATGTGTCTTGCCAAGAAATATGAGCAAAAAATGTCATTCAGACGTAACATTGCCACCATGTCAATGTCAATGCTGGCGAGAAAAAAACGTGTAGAAAGTCTATGGGATTTGGGATAGAAAAACATGAAGTAGGAAAATAAAGGAAAACAAAAAAGTACAGAAACAAAGGCTTTTCGGCAAGGTCTAGTGGAAAAGCCAATCAGATTTTCCACACATTTTTTTGTGGGCCGAAGAGAGGCCCAGTGCATGTTATAGGCAGTCTGTTACATGGGCCCATAGCACTGGTCTGGGTAATCATCCATAGTGGTTAAAACTCAAGATGAAACAGAACTCATCTGCATTGAATTTCTTTGGTAATCATTGTCAATAAAAGGTTTGTTTCCAGTGGTGCAAAACAATGTAACACAATCATTGAAATGCAGGCTCAATAAACAAACCACAGCAAGAAGGAGAGAACTAGTCAAACTGTTTGGGTAAATAAATGGAGAACCATCATTTTTATTCTGAGGCTACAAATGCCTGATCAAGTTGAATGCTTGATCAAGTACCCAAGACCAAACTACTAAAACCAAAGGCTCCAATGCATACATGTGCTTATAATACAAAGCAGTATGAAACTTAATGATAAAAGGGGCATTTAATTGAAAATGTTGGGCAAAACCAAGATACAAAGAGGGTTTGGTTGGGAAGTTAAAGTTATTGTTTCTGAATCTCCAATCAGAATGAAGCTGATCTACATTGTATTCTCGAAAGAAATTTAATCATTTGTAGAGAACATTCCAAGGTATAACATTACATTCTTATGGAGCTTGCCCTCCATGATTTGCGTTTATTTTGGAAACGTTTAGCAAATCTATTTCAGCCTAATTTAAACGTTTAAACCTTTAGCCACGACACACAGGCTGCATGCCACCTGCACCAGTGTTTGCACTCAAGCATGTTAGTTACAAGAATTAACATTAAATAATAATGGTGCACAGCAAACGAAGGGCAGCATCGACACTGATCTACATAGAAGATCATTCATAATGGACTGTCTTTTGCCTGGTAAATAAAATGGTTGAAAGGTGTCCTTTAGTATTACTAATTGTGTGTGAAATGAATACGAGGGCAGACACAGCAAACATATACAATGCGGGTTCGTTTAAACATTTTGGAAAATTGATTCTAAATGGATTAAGAATGTTTATCATTTAAATGTTAAAACAGCACCCTTTACCACCAACCACGCACAAGGGCAACAGCATGTGCGCCTCTCATGTCCCAGCTGCTCTACTATATTCATAATATACAAATACTGAATGCTTCGAGTGGTGTAGTAGAACTAGCCTCCCGAGGTGATCCATGGACCATTCTATTTTCCCAAGGCGAAGCCGAGGGAAAATAGAATGCTCCATGGATCAAAGAGGGAGGCTAGTTTTACTACACCACGAGATAAAGCATTCACTATTTGTTTGATAACACTTCACCCACAGATTCTGCTTGATTTTAATATTTTAACTTTTTAAAATCTGAACACAGTTGAAATTAACTTCAATTTCATTACAAAATTGTTGGAAAATGTATTTCTCTCTTAAAAACTACCCCTTCACGAAATGTTTGAACCCAAGTCTGCGGCGCGCTCTCTTTGGAATAATACGCACAACGCACAACACGCACACCAGCATGCATTTGCACACAAATACTGTGGAAATAGCCGTGGAAATAGTACTTTGGTTACAATGGTATAGAACTTTGGTTGCTATGCACATAGTACTTTTGGCCGTGCACAGAAAGATAGCAAAATTAGAAAGTAAGATGTGACTCGCTCTCGGCCAATCAAGACACAGAATCTGTGGGTGAGGTGTTATAATGCAAAACAGTCTAAATATTTGAGAAAAGTGTATAGAAACTGCAGTGAAGCAAGTTACAAAGAAGGCTTGGTTGGCAAGTTTAACTTGCTGAAGTTTGTGTTTCTGAATGTCCAATAAGAATAAAGCTGGTCTCATTTGTTTAAACAAAAAAAAAGGGATCTAAAAAAAATTGAAAAGAACATGGAGTACATACTTCGTCTCATGGAGATGACCCTCAATGAACAGACCATTCTATTTGGCACTGCCCACCATGCATGTGGGCAACAAATCGTTCACCTCTCCTTTGTTAAATACCGGTATTACATGTGCCAGACGTGCACATATGTCATACATGCGAATGCATGCACATTACAAATTTGTACACACCTATGTCGGGCATAAATCATGGTTGTGATTGGTCAAAACTTCCTGGAGCGGGGCGTGTGGATGTAATTGCCCACCTGTTTTCATGACAAATGGTGGAGTACCGTACATGTACTGGTAGCTGGAAATATGGATACTAAATGAATGTTGCATGATCAGTTTTTACACTTGTACCATATCTTTAAGCAATACAAGACTGATTGGAAATATTAAGTTTATTTTCAACCTACAATGTACATAGAACACTTCATGTAAATATTGATTGTTATATTTCTGAGTCGATGTTCTCAGTTTGGGACAAATTTGGTCATTTTCGGGAAAAGGAAGTTTAAAAAAGTATATCAAATTAGCACATCCATTTAAACACATGGAAGTATGTACAACTGTACAAGCTCCAAATAAGTTTGCACATATGACTATGGTTGATGTACATGTGTAAGATACTAAATGTAATATAACACATGTAAACTTTCTATGTACATGTATACAATCCCATATCCTGCTCAAAGTGTTTGAAGTCTGTCCTGTTTGTGAAGTTGCAGTCAGAAAGTTTCTGTACATTGCACATGTCCATGGATGCATGGAGCATCAATAATTTTCATGGATGTTTTGTAGATATAAAATGTCTTGATACCCTTTTTGTATATTTTATTTCTTTTTTTCCCCTGCCTTTTGTTTTGATCGCTTGAACAATTATGTGTTGGCTGATATCTCTAAACCAAGTGATACATGTACATGTACGTGAACTTGTTCATGCTCCACTTTAATGCAACTGCTAATTTATGTGCAGGTGTGTATGTGATATCAGAATTACCCTGACTGTCCCATGAAGCAATGCACTTGCCATCTGCACTGAAATGGCAGATTTGAACTGAGGCCAAAAGGTAAATATCACCTGCATCATCACAACACAGCCCGCCAATATAACTACCGGTACAACTTTGAGTAAACAGTTTGTTGCCATGTAAGTCAACAGCCATCAGCAAACCCTCATTGCTGTTGGTGTAAATAAGTCGCTTGTTGCTGAAGATCAAATGCGCATCAATCTTTGGAGCAGGCAGTGTTCTGACGAGGGAACCATCTGGGTTGTGCAGAGATATCTGTTCCTTGTCCTTGTAACCCACTGCTATCAGATTGCTGCTGTCCACTGCCAGGCACGTCGGTGTGCTGTCCACGCCGGCCTCTTTACCCGGTAGGAACTGATGAAGGAGCTGGTATTCCTTCTTGAAGATCTTGACTGCAGGATTGTCTAGGATCAGAAGTTGATCATCCTTGTTGATGGCTAGAGCTATTGCTTTCTGTATGTCATTAGGGTCATGGGGTTCGTTCGGTTTACCAGGGACAGGTTTGTAGGTCTTTGTAGAAATCACCTTCCCCTCAGGATCCAATGTATGCAGTTTGTCACTGCATACTACAACCATTTCACTTGTGGAGTATGCTGCAAGATGGTGTGCAGCATTTGTGACTGTTAAGGACTTACACAGCTCCCATTTCTCCTCCAAAAGTAGAGTCCCGAGCTGACCAATCCTCTTCACTCTCCTTGAAGCCAAGGAATGACTTCCCATGCTTGATATCCAAACTCTTATGCACCTCCACCTGCTCATTCAAATTCCGCAGCATTTTCTTCTTGGACTTAAGGATCTCATAGCACGATGCAGTAGTTATCACTTCATTCACCTCACCCAGAATCTTCTCAGACGTTACCGCATATGCAAATTGTTTATCTCGTTTAGTGGCAATGGCCCTGGCCTCCTTTTTGAGTTGTTGTTCTTTATCTCTGATTTTGGCAATTTCCTTTTCTGCTCTCTGTGAAATTTGAGAGTAAGTTTTTGCCAGCATCTTGTCAAGTCTGAAACGTGAATGACCTGAAGAGGGGTTGGCAGAAACAAACTTTTGAATACAATCTTCTGTTTTAGATACAGATTCATTTACTTCTTGTTTACATTTATTGAATGCCTCATCAGTACTGACGTGAGAATGCATGGATTCTTTGTGATCAATGTTTGTGCATTCATTGCATATGAGGACTTCACATGAGTTACAATACAGACAGATATCTTGATCTGGATGCTCGCGACATTTGGGAACTTTCTTGAGTTCAGTATCAGTTATTTCTTGGGACTCGACAGGTAGCTCTGTCAAAGCCACAATCTTGTGACTCTTCAGTGCTGCAAATCGATTATGCGCCTTCTGGCATTCTTGACAGAGATAATGCTTGCAATCCATGCATCGAGAAATGGCTTCATTTTCCTCATCACATGCCTGACACATGACTTTTAACCCCTGAACTTCAGTCTGTTCCTGTTGATTGACATCCTTTGATCCTCCAGGTAGCATGTCCACGCCAGCTTCAGTCCGGGCAGTTTCCTTTCGACACAACGGACAGACGATGCTTTTGTCATCCTTATTTTGTGTCAGTCTGAGTTCTTGTAGACATTTCAGGCAGAAGCTGTGTGAGCAGTCTAGCCTCCTAGGATCCTTGTACTCAGTGTAACAGATTGGACATTCTTGAAGTTCCTTCTGAGTCTCATCCAAGACTAGATCGGTCACACCCCCCTCTGCCATCTTGCTCCGTTGTATATTCTACATGAACCATTTAAGAGTGGAAAGAAAAACAAACTTTCAACCTATGCATATTATAAGATACTGTATACATATAGACTGACTCGTGCTCAGTATAAAGCGGAACGTACGCCTCTATAATGAACATTGTTGGATCCACAGAAAGTATTTGTAATAACGCTCATTCGGTACAGTGCCTTTGAATCGCCAGATACCCTCTTTTGATCAATATTGAATTGGCACTTCTCACATCCCGCGCCCGCACGAGTAGTCCTCACGAAACTTTAGCAATGGATGGTTTTCCTTGTATTCCTTGGGCCGGGTGGTTTTCCCTTAATTATATTCCTTGGGGAAATAATAGCCATCTGTCGCCCGATCGTCGACATTCAAACATGATGTAACTATGGGTTGCTCTATGTTCGGGAATTTAAAGTGGCCAAATAGTGTTTAATACATGAACAATCGGTATTTTTTTTTGTTAATCTGTTGACTGTTTTCAACAACAATGTTCAGTACGTTTTGTTCATTAAAACCGGGAGCCAAGGATGATGTTCGGTATAGCTGAATGTTCGGTATAGCAGTGTTCGATATAGCGGCGTTCCACTGTAGTTCACGAACGGTTTGCATACATCTAGATGGAAATATGTATTTAAATCACTTCAAATTTATGCAGATGAAATCAAAAACATACATGCACATAACAATATGAAGGTAAATAATAAAAGGACATCATGACAGTCAATATTTCTTCTTCTTGGATACATGAGTCAGCACAATACAGTCTGTCATGGTGCTATTTATTATATTTGCCTGTGCGGCTGCATTAAAAAGAATATACAACATTTGCAAATATAAAAAAAACAAAACTACCAAATTATTTTGAAATACCTGACTGGACTGTTAGTGAATGACAGTCTAAAGCATCCTGTAAAATGGCACCTGGTGTGCTGACATTTTCAAGAAAGTGGTATTTTTATATCAATTTCAAACACTGGTAGGCCAACCAGCATTGGAAAATGCTGGCTGTTTTTTTTTCTTCAAATACTGCCCCCCCCCCCCCCATTTACCATATTGTTGAATATTATTTGTAACTGGTACAAGCCTTCTAGCTTTACAACTCCCTGACGTCCATTAATTGTTCCATTTCAATTTAGGTGGCATCAGGGAACCAGACTACAAGAACATGATTGTTTTTCTTGGTTTTTCTAGCATCTACGAACCCAAAACGTCAAACAAATCAGTGCAACAATATTTTCTATAAAATACTAACTCAAAATCCATCCATTTCTGAAAATTACAGCAAAGGCAAATGTTGTATATTCCCTTTAACATCGTCCACCTACCTACAAGTTCAACAGACCTGTTTATGGGTCAGTTTGAAGTCGTTTTCTGCATGCAGTCTGTCAGCAGTATTAGCCACACCCTACTATTACTACAACAGCACGACTGTATGTTGTGTACACGGATTGTCCAATACTGAATAGTGTTGTGGATCAAGAATTTAAGTTTGCCTGAAGATAGATATAGGACTGTCAGAAAGAATCAAAGGACAATCCATTTTGTCTGCATGGGATACAGGGCCCCAAAAGCTAATTACATTGGCTTTATGCCGTTAGGGTCCCATGGTGCTGTATTTCTCCTGTGCTAGCTTGATTATCATCCTCCACTTACCTACAATGTAGCCGTTTTATGGGTCGAGTTCAAAACTTTTCCCCCCTTTATGTATACAGTCTGTCAGCAGAATCAGCCACACCCTACATGTACTGCTACATGTACTACAACAGTGCTCACTGCTGTACTGTAGGTGTTGTTCACGTTGTAAGTGCCTCACTACCACAGTCAAGTTCACTTTACTGAGTTGTAACAGCTTTCATTGCGACGTCACAATTGAACTGTTTCCTCATGAACATAATTTCTCATCCTCCACTTACCTACAATGTAGTTGTTTTATGGGTTGAGTTTGAATTTTTTTCCTGCATACAGTCTGTCAGCAGACTCAGCCACACCCTTCATGTACAGTAAGGCCCATGTATACTACAACAGCATGACTGTATGTTTTGTTCACGCATTGTCCAATATTACTGAATAGTGCCTCGCTACCACAGTCAAGTGCACAGCAAGGGCTGTCGTTATGACGTACATGTAAATGTTGAACTGTTTCCTCATGAACACAATTCAAGGTTTTTATGAATAGCTTTTCATGAGACACCTCTGACCTCAAGCATATATTGTTGTTAGTTGTGGCTAGGCCCAATTTCATAGTGCCGCTAAAGTACAAAATTTGCTTAAGCACAAAAAACTTGCTTCATATAATCACGTTACCCACTGAACCTCCATGCGATTGTGATGCTAAGTAAACAACAGCTAAATACCAGTCACAAGCAATGTACATCGCATGGAGTTTTGGCCGGTAACATGATTATATTAAACAAGGGTTTTTTGTGCATAAGCAAATTTTATGCTGAAGCAGCTCTAGGAAATTGGGCCCTAGTAGGTGTCCTGTATTTGTACATAATACCCGGCTGCTCTTGTGCATGTACATGTAGGCAGATCATGGATCGGTGTATTACTGTTTATAAAAAGTTGATGAGGATAACCTTTATGGGTTATTCCACCGGGTTGGGAACAATGTGTGCCATATGACCATATTACGACAAGTATGAATGCCTTGCTAGCAGTTGCTCTACATAATATTTGTTGTTGGGTGTTTCACTACTGCAGAAAGTTTTAAATCATTTGATTGTGCCAAAAATATGAGCAAAAAAGTCATTCGGACGTACATTTTGTAACATTTGTCACTGTATGCACCGCTGAAGAACAAGACTGGAAATCTGTTTGAATTCTTGACCCCATTTTATTTGCATACTGCTGATGCAGGTGAAAACTAAGGGAAAATACAAACATTCATATTAAATATTACAATCACATAAACATCAAAATACATGATTAAACAATTACATCAATAGGTTTAGAGAGAATCTTAGACCAATTGTGAACGGGCAGCACCTTATCGACAATATACTCGGTTGCGGAGGAGTCAACAATTCATTTGAATGAAATACA